TTTTTTTCATCTCTTGTATTTCACGCTTCCTTTACCTTTCCGTGTGCGTATGATGGGTTAAGCCAATATCAGAAGAGTTCGACGACAACGACGTCGTGTGCCAGTGATAACATGCCCAAGATTTAAGGGCGTTCCAGGCACTTAAAATGAAATTAAAAACATGCAAAGATCTATTCACCTCTACGCACAGACCTCACACACACTTACACACATCCACTCACATATTGAGCGTGAAATGTTCGGGATAAAGAAAGGCCGGAGGGCTTCATTCGCTTATGTTTTCTTTGGATTTTTTTCGTGTGTTATTGTTGGCAATATTCAAAACAGATTTCATTGTTGGAAAAATTAAAAAGTAATACATTGGGGGAAGGGAGGAGAGCACAAAGATCCCAGGTGTGTTGGAGGAAATTAAAACCAGCAAAGGAAAAAAAATGTAAGGATTTAAACACCGAAATCAGCTGAGACACCAGAGCAGAAGCTTTTGAAACCACAAGAATTCTGAAATTAGCTACTCTAGAATCGCGACCTCTAGGGTGAAACAGTTGTTATCGCAAGAAGACCTCTGTGGATATAGGTTTTTGGCATCCAAGGCACTCTTCAGGGGCAGGATACTACACCATAAATGGCTCTAAGGTAGTTATACTCCCGTAAAGACCTCTGTGACCCCAAGAGAGGCCTGTGGAGCCATCATACCATAAATGGGTGTAAGGTAGCTATACTCCTGTAAAGACCTCTGTGACCCCAGGAGAAGACTATGAAGCTATCTTTTCCACAGTAAAGACATCTGACGCCATCTACATTACACTAGAGACCACATACTCTACAGTTGAGATATTAGAAGTTACTTTCCCCAATCGGTGAAGCCTCCGAGGATAGTCAGCTAGAAAGCAGCTTTTTTACATTAGTCTTCAGGGGCAGGATACTACACCATAAATGGCTCTAAGGTAGTTATACTCCCGTAAAGGCCTCTGTGATCCCAGGAGAGGCTTTTAGAGCCATATTTTCTACAGTGCCATCTACATTACACTAGAGATCATTAGTTCTATAATAGATCACATACTACGCCGTTGACATCTCTAAGGTTAGTTTCCCGAAAGCAATGACCGAGACCAGATATCTTAAAGTAAAGGTCCCTAGGATTGGTTATTCTAAGGTGGTGGTCTTTCCAGCCAACTCCTTTACTGAAATACCCTCTAAGGCTAGCTACACCACACCACACCACAGTTTCTAAAGCAAGTAATTTGTACAGAAGTGGCGTTAGGTTACTCATATGTGAATCAGATGACCCTAGAGCAGTAGCAGTATCTAAGTTCTCTCTGATCAACTAATCTATTCTAGGTGTACTCTAAGTCCAGAAAATCTACAATAACGGCCTCCAACGCCATCTTTTCTTTGATATGGAACTCTAATGCAAGCTAATATACAATAGAGGTCTCTGAGGCAATTAAGTCAACATTGAAGACCTCGATTGGCTGCGGCTCAACAACAGAGATTTCTAGGTGAAGTTATTCTGAAATACTAGCCACTGAAAGCGTAATTCTACCTTTTTTGGAGGTCTTTGCCTTTAGTAAATGCCTCTTGAATCAATATCTTTACAAAAGTGAACTATGACGCCATCTTATATTAACCAGAGGGCTCTGAATCTATCCATTCAATATTAAAGGCTCATGCGACCAGCTACTCGACAGTAGAGGTCTCTTATCCATGTTAATATATTGTATTGACCCTTAGACAAATCTCTGAACAGTAGTGACACCTAAATTTAATTATTTTCCAAAAGAAAAGGTCGTAGCCAACTTCTTCCAACAGCTATTCCACAACGGATGTCTGTGAAACCTTCTATTCTACATGTGAAACTCATGAGGCCATGTGATGTATGATATAGGCATTGCAGGCCAACCAAATTGATGTACATATGTCAAAAACTATGTTGTAACGTCACCTAACACCAGCTTTTATGAAGTAAAGTACTCTGAGACCAACTGACTTGCAAACGAGGCTTTTGGCTGTACAGTAATCTGATATTATCTATTTAACAATAGAGGTCTCTACGCCAAAGCATATCTACAGCACTGACGACTGAGACCAGTTGCTTTACTATTTTGACCTCCTAGCCCAATTGCTTTTTTGTAGTGTCCTCTTCGATCAGATATTTTACAATTGATACTCCTCAACAGCTGTCTCCAAGGCATGTTAATCAACAGCACTGGCCACTGAGCTCTTTAATCGAGGCTTCGCGATCGACTATTAATCTCTGGTGACATAAATTCTGCGCTTAAAGCCAGCAACTTTAAGGTAGAGGACTCTGAAATCAATAAATTTACAGTGAGTGTTATTTATTCCAGCGTCATGGCCTCTTAAGCCTGCTACTCTAAAACAGATACCTCTGAGACAATATATTCTATAGTAGACGCCTCTGAGGGCACCAGATGTAGTGTATATAAGCGTAGAGGACTTTGTTGTTCTGGGCATCTGTTATAAAGCAGCTGAATTTGGAGATCGATACTCTGCCATAACCTGATTTAATTAAGACTTTTGCTCCTCTTCAATATAAATCCCTACTGCGCCAAAAAAAAACCCTCAGAGACCAACGACTTTGAAGTAGAGGCCATCAACACAAAAACACGGCATTGAAGAAGGCTAATGTATAACAGAGGTCTCTGGTAGTTGTATCAACTCTACTTTCCTTTTGGGAACAGCTACACTACACTGGAGGTCCCTGAAGTCAACTTTACAGCAGATGTATCTGAAGCCAGCTTTGCTTCAGTTGAGGTCTTTGAGGCTACTTTTGGGTAAGGGAATCTGGGAGTAGCTATTTAGAGCAGAGGCCTCTGAGGCGAACAGAGTTTGCAGCAGGGGCCATATTCTCTATGCATCCTAAGTTCAGATTCTCTGAGAAGAAACCTAGTGTTTGTATGACAGCTTCATCTGCTCTGAGAAAAACTACTGTACAATAGAGGTCTCTGACAAGGCCTCTTCTACATATACATAAGAAGAGTACCCTACAGTGAATTCCACTGAGGCTACGCTATAGACAGCTGCTTTACGGTAAAGGCTACAAAGTCAGCCATTTTAGGGCAGGGAACTCGGAGGAAAATATATCGGAATGGAAGTATCTAAAGCTGCCAATTCAACACCTAGTTTGAATGAAGCGCTGAGGTGGAGTTCTCGAAAGAGAGATACTCTAAAGAAGATGCCTCAGAGATTAGCTTCGCTGCAGTAGAGGGCACTGAATAAAATAACTTTATGACAGGCAGATGAAGGCATATTTTTGCAGGTAAATTGAAAGCCTCTATCATTAAAGATTGGATGCCTCTGAGGCTACGCTATATACATTTGCTTTAGGGTAGAGGACTACAAAGTCTGCCATTTTAGGGCAAAGGACTCTGAGGAAATTTATTTGCTCTACAGCTTCTTATGTCTCCTCTATCTATTGTTGCGGACTTTAAGTCCAAATTTCCTACAGTAAAGGCCAAGTTTTTGAGAGCAAGCTTCATCTGTTCCATCCTAGAGGGCTCTGAGGAAGAGTAATCTACAATGGAAGTATCTGAAGCTGCCAATTCTACACCGACTTTGAATAGCTACACGAAAGAAGTGATCTCTGAAGATAGCTACCCGACAATATTGGCCTCTGAGACCAGCTACTCTATAGTAGCGACCTCTGAGGCGAGCTACTCAATAGTAGGGGCCTCTAAGACCAGTTACTCGACAGTGGCGACTTCTTAGGCCAGCTAATCGACATAAGCGACCACTGAGCTCAGCTATTCGACTGTAGTGACCTCTGAGGCCAGCTACTCGATAGTAGCGACATCTGAGGCCAGCTACTCGACAATACTGACCTCTAAGGGGGCTAGTCGATAGTAGCGACCTCTGAGAATAGCTACACGAAAGTAGTGATCTGAGTATAGCTACTCGACAATATTGACCTCTGAGGCCAGCTACTCAACAGTAGGGTCCTCTAAGACCAGTTACTCGATAGTGACAACCCACAGGTTAGCTTCGCTACAATAGAGGGCACTGAATAAAGTAACTTTATGAGAGACAGATGAAGGCATAAATTGAAAAATAAAGCCCCTATCATTAAAGATTCCTTAAGCCGCCTTAAGCCGAGTAGTCCTCCTTTAGTAAAGCCTTGTATTTACAACAAACTTAATGTTTTTTTTTTGCAAAGTTTTACCTTTAAAATATGCTCTAAACATTATCTCTCCATATCGTCGTATGCCCTTGCATATTAATACTATTGTGTTTACTTTCCCAAACTTTGCCTATGAGCGGAACTTTTAATGACCTTGCTTTGTGCAGATGTCAATGGCGCATTTATGTTTTTTTTTTTTTGGTATTTTGTCGTCAAGTTCCTTTCAACGAATATTACCAGAAAATAAAGGAATTCTTGGATTTCAATTTTGTTTATCATGCCGTAAATTCAGCTCATATTTCCACGTAGAATTCATTTTGCGAAATGAAATTCTGTTTTCTTTTTTCGCGTTTTTTTCTTTTTTTTTTTAACGAACACATTAAAATTGTCTAGCCATTGTTGCTGTTTGTTTTGTTTCGTTTGTGTTTTTTTTTTCTTCTCGCGTTTATTTATTTTCATTTTCTGCAGGATAATCAGCAATCATTTTATTATTCTCATGACATTCAGACTTCTGTTGGGAAGTCTTATTGTTGCAGCACATGAATTGAATTTATATGGTTCGGTGTTTTTCTATTCAAATATTTTTCATTCAAAATATCGCGAAGCATATTGTTTGCATTAATAGGTGGTAAATTTCGGGGGTTTTTGAATTGCCATTAAATGTTAAAGTTAAACAATGCAGAAAAAAAAATGAAGCCTGGGGAGAAAAACAAACGGAATTCAGAGACATATAATTTGGCATAAAATTGAGTTGAGATCTTTCGTAATGATGATGATTATACGGCGTCAAATTATACATCAGAAAAATCTTAGCATTCTGTGAAATTTTAATAAAGCACTATTTTTTATTGTAATTTCTTTGCAGGCATGAAACCACGCATTAAAAATCATTTTCGCGCCCACCAACTGTCAATTTGGATGCGTCTGATACCCGAATTACATCGCAGCGGCATGGAGGATGTCATTGCGCGACATAATCTCTTTCGCAATCATGACGATATGGACTTGTATGAGGGTCCCGTGAAACCAGATCCATTTGCCTCCCAGCGTTTGCTGCTCATCGATGAGGCATTGATGAAGAAGGGGCGCAGTAATAATACCGGCTATGTGGCAGGGGTTTTGGGTGGTAAGTACTTTGCAATAAATAGTATTAAAAACAATTACGAAAAATTTAAGTAGTTGAGAGCCATTTGGAGCCAAATGTTTGCAAGTGCTTTAAAGTATCGGATTTTGGTAAAAAGTTGTATGAAACTAACAAGAGTGGCCCATATGATCAGCATTTGTGAAGTAGTGTCCACCAACGCCACCTGTTGTTCGCTAGCAGCCTTAACGATTAAATACTCTATAAAAGAGGACTCTGAAGTCAGCTAATCCACATCTGAGGCCTCTGAACCAAGCCACTGAACATTAGCGACCTCTAAAGTTAGGTACTCGATTGTAGCAACGTTTGAGGCCATCTGTTCGACAGTAGCCACCTTTGAGGCCAGCTACTTTTGAGTAGCGACCTCTGAGGCCAGCTACTCGACAATAGCAGCCTCTGCGACCAGCTACTCAACAGTAAAGACTTCTAAGGCCAGCTACTAAACAGCAGCGAACTCTGAAGCCAGCTACTCGAATGTAGTTACCTATGAGCCCACAGTAGCTATATCTAGGTCACGCTAGTCGATAGTACCAAACACTGATTGTATGTACTTGACAGCAGCGGCATCTGCAGTCGGCAGTCGACATTAGGGACCTCGAATGCCAGCTACCCGACAGTAGCGACATCTAAGACCATCTAGCCGACAATAGCGACCTCTGAGGCCAGCTAATCGTGAGTAGCGACCAGTTACTCGACAGTAGCAACCTCTTAGACCAGCTACCCGATTTCTGAGGCCAGCTACTCGACAGTAGTGTTCTCCAAGGCCAGCTACTCGATAGTAGTGGCCTCCAAGGCTAGCTACTCCACAGTAGTGGCCTCCAGGCCACCTACTCGACTGTAGTGGTTTCCAAAGCCAGGTACTCGACAGTAGTGGTCTCCAAAGCCAGCCACTCGAGCTGAGGGCAGCTTCTCGGCAGTAGCGACATCGGAGGCCAGCTACTCGACAATAGTGACCTCTAAGGGGGCTAGTCGATAGTAGCGACCTCTGAGAATATCTATACGAAAGAAGTAATCTCTGAAGATAGCTACTCGACAAAATTGACCTCTGAGGCCAGCTACTCTATAGTAGCAACCTCTGAGGCGAGCTACTCAATAGTAGGGACCTCTAAGACCAGTTACTCGACAGTGGCGACCTCTTAGGCCAGCTACTCGACAGTAAGCACCTCTGAGGCCAGCTAATCGACATAAGCGACCACTTAGCTCAGCTATTCGACTGTAGTGTCCTCTGAGGTCAGCTACTCGACAATACTGACCTCTAAGGGGCCTAGTCGATAGTAGCGACCTCTGAGAATAGCTACACGAAAGTAGTGATCTCTGAGTATAGCTACTCGACAATATTGGCCTCTGAGGCCTGCTACTCAACAGTAGGGTCCTCTAAGACCAGTTACTCGACAGTGGCAACCCCTTAGGGCAGCTACTCGACAGTAAGCACCCCTGAGGCCACCTACTCGATATAGGCGATCACTGAGCTCAGCTATTCGACTGCATGAACCTCTGAGGCCCTCAACTCGACAACTGTGACCCAGCTGCTGTAGAGTAGCGACCTAGAAAGCTACCTAGTTTGCTTTAGGTCAGCTTTCCTTAATGACAACTATGGCTTTCTTATGACAACTACTCTACAGCAGAGGCCAACTAATCTACTTCAAATTCTAGCGGACCTACCTCAGAGTCAAGATAACTCTGCTGAGGGATTATCTAAGGCTGTCTAGCATACATTGGAGGCCTCTGAAGCCAACTATCGTTTAACAGAAACTTCTGGGGTCATCTTGTCCACATCAGAGGTCTTTTAGGTCAGATTTCCTTAATGACAACTATGGCTTTCTTATGACAATAACTCTACAGCAGAGGCCAGCTAATCTACCTCAAATTTCAGCTGATCTACCTCAGAGTCAAGCTACCCCTCATCAGAGGACTCTAAGTCCAACTAGCCCACTCTGTAGGCCTCTGAGACCAATTTCACTACAGACGCGACTTGTGACGCCACCTACTCTACAGCAGATGTCGCTGAGGCTACCTACTAAACAGTATAAAACTTCGGTACAGTAGAGGAGACCAGCTTGTCTACCATGGAAAACTTTGGGTTTACTTTCCCCTCAGTATAAAGCTATGATTTCAGCTATTCAACAATAGAGGTCATGCTCAAGTCTCAAAGGATATTATTAGTATTCTTCAGGTTAAAGACCTAAAAGTTTTATTTTATGTGAAGCGATCAAAAAAAACACTTTAATATGAAATCATTTAAAGGACAATTGTAATTTGAATGCCTCGCTTTTCTTGAATGTTCTTGGAACTGAATATTAACTTTTTCTTCCTGATAACTGCTCATCCCTCTCCCTTCCTATCTCACATGTCAAATTATTTCCCGCATTTGAATTTAAGTTACAGCTGTCATTTAAGCTTTATTGACAAACGTTAGATTGCTTTGACAATTGACACAAAGCCAGTCACACACACATATTAAATTGTGTGTGTATATTCACACATACACACAACCATCCATATGCAGATGTGATTGTTGTTTAGCTTGACAGGCACACCTTTATCGGGTGTACGTGTTCGGGCAGAAAATTTGCTGTGTTAACCGGAAAACGGATGATGTGAAAGATGTGAGCGCGCCAGAGAGAGAGATAGAGAGAGACGGTGTATCGTCCTCCTAAAGGTAAAAAGGATTTAGGCTTCAAAACACAACACACAAAGGATAATATTTACGCCTCCATCCCTTCCGATTAACTCTGACAAAACTAAATCAACATTGTTGTCGTTGTTGTTGCTGCCGTTGGAAGATTGCTTGTGCTAATCTTTTTTGTGCTTTGAACATTCATGGAATTCCTTTTTTTCGTTTTAATGAAAATGACAGATAATGAAAGAGTTCCAGGCAAAATGCGAAGAGAGAGAGAGAGAGAGAAAGAGAGACAAGGAAAAATAAGCATAAAAATGATAAGGAAATTTTATTAAAGAAAATAAAATATCAAAAGAATGATACTAAAATGCATGAATAGGCAAAAAAATATATATAAACTAATTTGTGTGTGCCTGAGTGTGTGTGTGCATTAATTTGTGGAAAATGGTTTCAGGTTATCACCTTTTTTTAGGCTGGTCTTATCAAAGTATATATGTTTGACAAAGGAACTCTTAATCGAATTATTAAGTGACAGGGTTGCCATTTGAGTTTGATGGGGAAATAAATTTTATTGTATAGGAAAGTTGAAACCTAAATCTGAAATATGACTACGTATTTAGGATCAGAACTTCTGTCTTTAAATATTATTTAGGTTTTTTCCTTTTTCGCATAGATTAAATAAGGAAATGTCCAGCATTCACACCAAAAAGTTTTCAAAATCTTTTTTTTTTTAAGTTTACAGAGGAGTATATTATTCAAACCCTTGCATAATGGACCCACATAAATTTTTTCTGCCCAAAACTATTTTTAAATTTCTTCATCTGTAACCCCTTGAAACCACCAATGACCTCAATATAAAATTTCAGAATTTCATATCTGTCTCTTCACCCCATACCAATTTAGTACGCATATCCAAAATAATCTACACCTCTTCATCCTAGGCACCAACAGTAACCCCAAATTAGTACTATTTAGTACTTTCGTTCAATTATTGTACAAATTTCCAACACCGTCTCCATAACTCAATTCCAGAGACTTCAATACCATATTTCAGGATTCCAGCCCTATACCTTCATTCAATACGAAATTTAGTATCACTTAGTACTTTTCGAACAATTATAGTGCACATTACCAAAACCACCTCCGTTTCATAATTCCAGATACCAACAGAGACCTCAATATTAAATTTCGAGATTTCAGTTCTATACATTCACTCATTACTAAATTTAGTAACATTAAGTACTTTTTTCATAAATTTAGTACTCTTTTACAGCAACGTTCCATATCACAAAGCCTAGACACCCAGAGTTATCGCAACATTAAATGTCAGGGTTTCAGCTCTATTCCTTCAGGCAATAACAAATTTAGTACTATTGTGTACTTCTCGAAAAACTATAATAAGTATTTCTAACCCTACCACCAGTAACAACCAACAGGGGCCTAAATATAAAATTTCAGACTGCAGCTTTATACATTTCATTCAGTGCAAGAACTTACACCGCAACAGAAAGAAAATAGACACAAAAGAGCTAAAGAGTTGCTTCGCTTGGTCGAAAGTGGTGAACTGTCGAATTTGGTTTTCCCCGATGAGGAAACATTCGTTGTCCAGCAATTTGTAAACAAACAAAATGATCGTGTTTACTTGCCAAAGAGATCAGCTGAAAATGCACATTCAGTTGGCCACAAGAACTCAAGCGTGATAATGTGGGCCGCCATAACAGCCGATGGTCGCTCTCCGCTCGTATTACCGTGGCAACAGAAAAAATGCCGAATATTATCGCGAAAATATTCTGGAGGGTGTATTAAAGCCTGGCCGCAGACCTTGGACATTCCAAGAGGACTCAGCACCATCGCACTCAGCACGCGCCACCCAAGAATGTTTACAAAATAATGTTAATCTCTTCATTTCCACCGCACAATGGCCACCAAAATCTCCGGATACCTATCCGTTAGACTATTGTGTCTGGAGTATTTTGGAAAGCAAGGTTGGCACTAAAAAATACCAAAGGGTCGATCACCTCAAGCAAGCGCTTCGCCGGGAATGGGCAAAAATACCGCAGAGCAACATTCGGGCAGTGTGTTAAGGTTTTATTGGCCGTTTGAAGACCATAATTCGTGCCAAAGATGACCAATTCGAACAAATCTAAACCTATTATAAAATTTGAAGCTGTTTCCGATATTTTTTGCTTTTAAAAAAATTCACAAATTATGCCGTTTGACTTTGTTGCAGTTTTTTTATCTCATCCTGTATATAGACTCACCTTTTGGTATATATAGTCGGTATTTTGATGATTTCAGAATCATTTTTCAGCTGAATGGTTTCAAATTTTGTATTTGTAGCCCCTAATGGGTACAGAAAATTGTC